GCACCATTGGATTGAATCCATTTATATTTGGCGTTTACACCAGGATTTCCACAACTGCAGCCAAGCACTGACACATAGTCCGATTCCAGCAGCATCATCACTAGTCTGTAAGAATTCATTCCTGCTAAGAATCATGTTTCATGTTATTCACACACTTGTGTGGTTGTGTCTTGAATCCTGACTGGTTCTGTGGCCTGTACCTGAGCAATGGAATGTGGCAGAAGTGACACATCAAAGCCTGGGCCGTAGGAATCCTTCCAGCTTCTACCTGGTGCTCATGGAACCCAGCTGCCACCCTGCAAGGAAGCTCTGAAAACACCCTTGTGGAGAGGTGGTGAGGACACTGTCTTACAGTCCTTGATAAGCTCCCAGTGGTCCGTCTGCATCACCATGTCAGTCACGCCAATCAAGCCATTCCCAGCTGAGTCCCAGACTTTATGGAGTCCACAATGTGGACCTTGTTGTGTCATGCTTCATTTCTTGACTGTCAGAAACATGAGGGAGGTTTTAGGTCACTATCGTTTGGTATTATTCGCTACCTAGGAATCAATGACAGAACAGAGGACCCTTATTTATGTGAGTCATGTCCTTTGGAGTGTCCAGTGGGTTTGGTACATGGTGTGTGGTGCACAGTGGGTTTAAAATCCCATTTCCTGATGCTTTCATATCTGGAGGGATCTGGAACAAGGCCTGGGAGAGACGGTTGGCTTCCCAGCCAGTGGGGAAGCTTTTCATTTCCCAGGCACAGACGCTGCAGTCTCTCCAGTTCCCAGAGTCATTTAGGAAGCCCAGTTCCGTGCTCTAGACCTGAAGCCTTGACCTCCTCAGAGATGAGAAAACACATTACCTAAAATTTTGCATCTTTGTTCTCTCTATATTCTGCAGCGCTTCTCACATGGCTCAGTGGTAAAGAATCCCCCTGTTAATGTGGGAGACCTGGGTTTGATCCCTGGATCAGCAAGATCTCCTAAAGAAGGAAACAACAACCCACTCCAGTATTCTTGCCTGGGAAATCCCAAGGACAGAGGAGCCTGGTGGGCTATAGTCCATGTGGTTGAAAAGAGTCAGGCATGACTGAGTGACTAAAAAACAACAACAATAACAGATATTCTACAGGACTTCGGCTCCCATAGCCTTCCAGTCTAAGGATTTTCCCTTTATTCCTGGCACCTGAAAGTTTCACCTTCTGCCTTTAAGATAAGTTGGTAATTTTTTAAAATATATGTTTTTTCTTCCATACATTTTAATTTGGAGTGGGGTTAAATGTGGGTTGCTCCACCTTGCTTCCAGAGGTTGCTCCATCTGATGTTTTAATCTCACTTCCTTATCTTCTCTCTAGAATATTTCTGGGCATTTGCTCCCTACATCACAGGACTGTGTTAGCAAAACTGTGAATGTGCTAGCTCTTTTAAAAGATGTAAATTCATTCAAAAAAGTGAAACTCTATCCTTGGTTTCTAGATGATTAAATTCATAGTTGTATTCTATTGATCCACCAGGATGGTTCTGACAATTGAAATTCTGTTTCCTATGGGGACCAGTGATGGTAGTTACTGATCAGGGAGGTACCTTTCTTGCCCAGTCTGGTCTTCTTTGTACCTTTCTTGCCCAGTCTGGTCTTCTTTGTAACAGCCAGCAAAGAGCTGTGTCCTTAAGATCATGACCACTCATAATCCATCTCCGCTGCAGATAACAGCTAATGGAGTCAGGCTGCTCATATGGATATGCTCCTAGATAATGTAAAGGTTTTTTTCCCCCCATCATTTATATTTTAATAAAACTAGCAGATAGGACTTCAAGCTGTAACATTCAGCAAAAGAATTAATATACTGAAATGTGGCCCTTTGACAGATGCTCAAATGAATATAAGGCTATCAGAAAGAAAAAATAATTAGAGAGGGAAGGAAACTGGAAACAGAACTCAGATGATTACATAAGTCCTTTGAGAAATGAATAAAGGACTCAATCAGAAGTAACTGATTCTCCTTATATCCATATGCTGTCTTCTGGCTTATACACTTAAAAACATCTCTGGTTCAGTTGTACCTCTGCTCAAAGACTTCAGTGATGACCCAGTGCCTTAATTTATTTCACTCCAACTTCTAGAGCTGGTCTTGGGTCTCAGATGCTTCTGTAGTCTGGTCTCAGCCTACTCTTAGAACAGTGATTCTTAACCTTGGGTACATTTTTGAATCACTGGAGAGATTTATAAACTGTAGGTGCCTTCTCACATACACAAAATTATAACGAACATGCATGTTAATTATATCATTATCTATATACTATCATACCCACTAACCAACTTCACTGATGGAGTTGAATTTTGAAGAGATCATTTTAGCTACAGGGTGAAACAAGACATTAGAAGACAACAGAAGAAAATATGGCAAGGAATGTAAGTGAAAAAGTAGATTCGAGAAGTTAGAGGGTTTCAGATGGGTATTCTTGGCCTCAGACAATTAATTAAATTAGTGTTACTTAAATATATACAATATGTTAGAACTCTGGTGGGTCTGAAAGGAGAAAGAGAATGTATAAAAATTATGAAACAAAACATCCACCTTGACCTTGGGTACACAGTACAGTGGGTTAAATAATATAAACAAGCAGTTGAAACTGAAGTGGCATAAAGAACTACACAAAAATTATAATGGGGAAATAGAGATCAGATTATGTGACAAATGTTTGTGGAAAAATTAATAATAATGCTGAGGTGTGGGTCCCACCCCAGAGGTGCTGATTTAACTGGTCAGGATAGAACCAGGCATCAATGCTTTTGCAAAGTCCTCATTAACTGGAATGTTCAGCCAGTGACAAAGAGTATGCTGTATAGTCATATCCACACTTCTGGGCTGCCGTGGGGCAATGAATGGACACTGCCAAGAAGCCTGGGCTCAAGTCTCAGATTTCCTGATGATGAAGCAGAGGAAAAAAGCTAACATTTTTTGAGCAGGATCTGTGTTGGGCATTTCATGGACATCTCAGTGTTTCTCAACCCTGACTGCATATAAAATCATCTGAGAACTTTGAAAACTACTAATGCCTTGGTTTGAAGCCAGATCTATTAAATCAAAACTTTGGTATGAATCAAGACATGATTTTTTTTTTTATTTTTTTTGTAAATGCTCTTGCAGTTGATTATCCGCAGGATGTTGAGAACCACTAGTTTTGGAGTCCATGAGGTGATTCTACTGCATATAATTTTAAACCTACTCACTGTTCTATGGAGTTCTTATTCCTTAGCCAAGCAAGCCTGTTTGCCATGCCCTGAAAACACAACTAAGAAGACCCACAGGCCAAGGAGAGCTTCTCAATTATCCAGCATCAGGCCAGATACAAAGATCTTTCATTTGCCAGAGGACTCCTTTTTAAGCTTCTGATTAGTCTTTGAGGCTCCAATCTAGGAAGTACAAAGGGCACGTTAGTCACTAATAGTGGAATCGATAAATAGTTAATTCACGGTGGTTTTCTTTCCTCTCTCTAAAGGCAGGCTATGGTAGGTTTTATTTAAGGATCTTGAGGAGAGGGCCAAAATAACTAGGAATAGTTCTTTCCACACGAACTTACTAAAATTTTCAGGTTTGGTCAGAAAATAGCCTTTCTAGGTATTCCAAGTAGGAAAGGTTTTAGATACAGGGAATGAGACTTAAGAGGGCTCAGGGAAGGTTTGGCTTGAGATCATTTATGAAACAAAACATCCACCTTGACCTTGGGTACACAGTACAGTGGGTTAAATAATATAAACAAGCAGTTGAAACTGAAGTGGCATAAAGAACTACACAAAAATTATAATGGGGAAATAGAGATCAGATTATGTGACAAATGTTTGTGGAAAAATTAATAATAATGCTGAGGTGTGGGTCCCACCCCAGAGGTGCTGATTTAACTGGTCAGGATAGAACCAGGCATCAATGCTTTTGCAAAGTCCTCATTAACTGGAATGTTCAGCCAGTGACAAAGAGTATGCTGTATAGTCATATCCACACTTCTGGGCTGCCGTGGGACAATGAATGGACACTGCCAAGAAGCCTGGGCTCAAGTCTCAGATTTCCTGATGATGAAGCAGAGGAAAAAAGCTAACATTTTTTGAGCAGGATCTGTGTTGGGCATTTCATGGACATCTCAGTGTTTCTCAACCCTGACTGCATATAAAATCATCTGAGAACTTTGAAAACTACTAATGCCTTGGTTTGAAGCCAGATCTATTAAATCAAAACTTTGGTATGAATCAAGACATGATTTTTTTTTTTATTTTTTTTGTAAATGCTCTTGCAGTTGATTATCCGCAGGATGTTGAGAACCACTAGTTTTGGAGTCCATGAGGTGATTCTACTGCATATAATTTTAAACCTACTCACTGTTCTATGGAGTTCTTATTCCTTAGCCAAGCAAGCCTGTTTGCCATGCCCTGAAAACACAACTAAGAAGACCCACAGGCCAAGGAGAGCTTCTCAATTATCCAGCATCAGGCCAGATACAAAGATCTTTCATTTGCCAGAGGACTCCTTTTTAAGCTTCTGATTAGTCTTTGAGGCTCCAATCTAGGAAGTACAAAGGGCACGTTAGTCACTAATAGTGGAATCGATAAATAGTTAATTCACGGTGGTTTTCTTTCCTCTCTCTAAAGGCAGGCTATGGTAGGTTTTATTTAAGGATCTTGAGGAGAGGGCCAAAATAACTAGGAATAGTTCTTTCCACACGAACTTACTAAAATTTTCAGGTTTGGTCAGAAAATAGCCTTTCTAGGTATTCCAAGTAGGAAAGGTTTTAGATACAGGGAATGAGACTTAAGAGGGCTCAGGGAAGGTTTGGCTTGAGATCATCAAGCCAAAACGCACCTGAGTAGCTACAAAGCTAGGACAGATAATCTTAGTTTTCCTTGGCACCAAAGCAGGCAGCTTGCAGGAGCTCACCAGAACTCCGCAAACTTCAAGAATCTTTGGAAACACCAGGAAATCAGGTACTTTCTAAGAACTCACTTAGAAGCTACTGCTGATAATCTCCTGTTTGACTTCTTGTGTTTTTGCTGAACTGCCACTGGAGAAAGCGGTTTCTCCTTCTCAATTCTCTTTCAGATCTCATATCTGTACCCCTCAGTGGCAGAATGTGACCTGGAAGCAATTGGGAGAAACAGTTCTGGGAAATGCAGACTTCTCCCCTGTGATGCAAAGCAAAATCTGGAGAGAGGGAGAGATGACATGGAATTAACAACAGACAATCTGGCAAAATGAAGTCAAGGTAAGTCAAGACAAGCTTATTTGGGGGAATACTTGGAGGAAAAAATTGCAAATGTATAAAAAAAGAAAGATCAAGAAAACATTTCTCTTGAAAGCAGAGGTATGTAGCTAGCAGGAAAGTGCCTCTGCGTGCTTGCCCCCACAAAGCTCACAGGATGACTTTGTTGTGGTGAATTTGCCAGGGTCTATGGTTTAGTCCTCAGCATAGCAGGTCCACAAATTAGGCTTCCAATATGCAGCCATCTCCCCCAAACCTCACAGTTCTCTAACAGTCTCTCTGAGAGACTTAAGTAGTCATTAGAAGGTAGTTTCATGATCATATAATCAGAACAAGAATTAGTGGCTGGTCTTGGAGACCCCTTCAAACCCTGTTAGACAAGTATGTGTTTAATATCTGGACCCACACTAGACTTCTGTTCCACAGGGCCTGGGGCACTCTTTTGCTCACTACTCAATCCCTGGCACTTAACATAAGCCTGCTGCATGGTAGCTGTTCCATGAACTTTATTGATTGAATGGATATATAATCATGGTGACACCTGAGGACATATCTTTGATTCAAAGGACAGAACACCATGCTAGTGACCTGATCTAGCACGTCTCTCTTTTGACCAGTAGTACATTCCTAGTTCCATAGTTTCTCTCTTTTTATTAAAATATTTCAGATTGTCAGTCTCTTTAAATATATATATCTATATGAATATATGTAATATGATATGTGATATATAAACAAATAGGTATAATATATATATGTATATATAACATATAGTATAATGTATTTTCATGTATTATAAACTATATTTCTGTGTATAGTAGAATATAACAATTGCTATGCAAAATTATATAATTTCTGTATATATTACATATACAGTTACATAAATTTATATATATATTTAGGCTTCCAATATGCAGCCATCTCCCCCAAACCTCACAGTTCTCTGATAACAGTCTCTCTGAGAGACTTAAGTAGTCATTAGAAGGTAGTTTCATGATCATATAATCAGAACAAGAATTAGTGGCTGGTCTTGGAGACCCCTTCAAACCCTGTTAGACAAGTATGTGTTTAATATCTGGACCCACACTAGACTTCTGTTCCACAGGGCCTGGGGCACTCTTTTGCTCACTACTCAATCCCTGGCACTTAACATAAGCCTGCTGCATGGTAGCTGTTCCATGAACTTTATTGATTGAATGGATATATAATCATGGTGACACCTGAGGACATATCTTTGATTCAAAGGACAGAACACCATGCTAGTGACCTGATCTAGCACGTCTCTCTTTTGACCAGTAGTACATTCCTAGTTCCATAGTTTCTCTCTTTTTATTAAAATATTTCAGATTGTCAGTCTCTTTAAATATATATATCTATATGAATATATGTAATATGATATGTGATATATAAACAAATAGGTATAATATATATATGTATATATAACATATAGTATAATGTATTTTCATGTATTATAAACTATATTTCTGTGTATAGTAGAATATAACAATTGCTATGCAAAATTATATAATTTCTGTATATATTACATATACAGTTACATAAATTTATATATATATAATATAATGTATATATCTAATATATAAGCATGTATATCATATTATCATATCATATTTAGGGGATTGCATACCACTGAATAAACTATAGCAAAGTAACTATTTCAGTGGGTCTAGAAGACTCTGCCTTTTCCCATTGTGGACTGGTTACATAAATTTAACTGTTAAAAAGAAACCTTCTTTCCCTCTCTTTCATGTCTGGGGCTTGGGGCTTTGTGAACGCCCATCAGGATTTCCTACATGCAGATGCCGAGATGCTCTACTAAAGGCATGCTCCTCACCTGCGCTCTTCCAGCACAACCTGGGCAGGTGTCTTCCAGAAAGTTTCATGTTCCCGTCTGTAGTTTGCCTTCCCTGCAGGCAGATGAGACCAAGCTCCTCAGTGTCCCATTGACTAATTCATGGATTGATGATTGATGGAGGAAGATAAAAACTTCAATTCTAGATTGTTAAGCTAAGCTGACTAATAATTTTCTGAGGAGCAGGTGCGGTGGAGTATTCTTTCCCACTTCCCTGGCTTTGCTTATGCCATGCTCTTTGTGTGGAATTCTGTGAGTTCCTCCTGCTACCACTGCTTAATTCAGTTTAATTCTCTCTACTTTTCTGGAAGAGGTTCATGATATTCCAAGAAACCTTCCTAAACAACTCTGTCCTACTTTGTTCTCTTATTCTAATATATTATATACATTTGGCTATACTAGTCAGTCATTTTAGTGCTAATAATTAATGTATTCCATTATACTTTTCCTGAATTCCTCCAACTTTGTATGTGATAATAAATTCTTGAGATAAAGGAATACGTCATATGTTGGGGAGTGTGAGTATACATTTCTCCACAGTGCTTAGCAGAGTGTTAGGACCTATAAATATTTTATATTCAGTTTTCATTTATTCATTTGTTCATCCTTTAACAAATATGTATCAAGCACATTGATGTTGAAGATGAAGCTCCAATACTTTGGCCAGCTGATAGGAAGAACTGACTCATTGGAAAAGACCCTGATGTGGGGAAAGATTGAAGGCAGGAGGAGAAGGGGATAACAGAGGATGAGATGGTTGGATGGCATCACTGACTCGACGGACATGAGTTTGAGCAAACTCTGGGAGTTGGTGATGAACAGGGAAGCCTGGCATGCTGCAGTCCATGGGGTCACAAAGAATCGTACATGACTGAGTGACTGAACCAAATTGAAACTGATCAGCTGACTACTCTGTGTCCAGTTCCTTTTCTGAGTTCTTATAGAACCTAAATCTTTGCCCTATATTTCAGGGAGTATAAAACAAACAATAAATAATAAACTCAATACATAAGTAAATTATAGTATAGTAGGATATAACAATTGTTGTGCAAAAGAAGGAAAAATAGAACAGCGTAAAGGGAGTCTCAGTAATTCTGGTATTTGGGGCTGATTTGCTGTTGTTGTTCAGTTGCCAAGTCATGTCTGACTCTCTGTGACCCTATGGACTGCACCCCGACAGGCTTCCCTCACCATCTCCCAGAGTTTGCCCAAGTTCATGTCCATTGAATTGGTGGTGCCATCCAACCATCATGTTCTATTTCTCTCTTCTTCTGCCTTCAACATAGGGCTGATGGGTTGTATTAATTAGAAACCCACAAGAAACTGGTATTTGAGGAACGATTTGAAGAACATGAGAGAGTGAGCCATGCAGACGTCTGGGAAAAGAGCTCTGTAAGCTGAAGGTATAGCATATGCAAGGGCCCTGAGGTAGGATTGTGTGGGGCATTTTTCAAGAATAGCAAGGGGTGATTTGTGCTGGAGCAGAGTGAATGAGGGAGATATCAGTAGAAGAAGCCAGAGAAGGTAATGTTACCTTAAAGGCCTTTGTAAAGCTTTTTGGATTTTACTCCTGGTAAAAATGGGAGTTGTAGGAGGGATGTGAACAAAAGCATTGCCTGATCTGATTTTTATTTCAAAATGACCTTTCAAGATTGCAGAGTCAAGGGTACTCCAGAGACCAGAAAACTTTCTCTTTAAAGAGTCAGATAGTAAATACTTAAGGCTTTCTGGGCCATACAGTCTGTCAAATGTGTTCATTTCTGTACCATTTTAGCACATAAGTAGCCATAGACAATATACAGACAAATGGACTGTGTTGCAATAAAACTTTGTTTACAAAAACAAGTGGTTGACAGAGTTTGACCTATCAACTGTAGTTTGCCAGCCTTGGTGTGGACTAAAAGGAGGCAGCTATAGAAACAGGAAGACCTATCAGGAGGCTATTGAAGTAATCTCTGTAGGAGATGGTGAAAGCTCAGAATAGAATGGAAGCAATAGAGATGGCAAGAAGAGGTTGGATTATAAGGGCTTCCAGGTGGCTCAGTGGTAAAGAATATGCCAATGTAGGAGACCAAGGAGACACCGCTTTGATCCCTGGGTCCGGAATATCCCCTGGAGCAGGAAATGGCACCCCAGTCCAGTATTCTTGCCTGCAAAATCCCATGGACAGAGGAGCCTGGAGGGTTATAGTCCATGTGGTTGCAAAGAGTCAGATACGGCTGAGTACATACACACACACTCACACACACACATACATATTTATATATTACAGCAGATGATTTTCTGATGAATTGGATGTGTGGTGTAAGAAAAAGAGAGACGTCTAGGATGACTTCTTATTTGTTCCAAGCGACTGCAAAGATGTGCTGGCATCAATTGAGGCGTGGAAAGCAGTGCATGGAGAAGGGCATTTTTCGACATGTCAGGTAAGTGGTTGGCAATACAAGTCAGAGCACTGGGAACTGGATTGGCCCAAAAAGTATGCTACAAGGACACATTTTAAATCCAAGTATTGATTGCTTGAATTTTGAGACAATGTCCCAATTGTATGTAAAGCTGGGGAATTCAGAAGTATGCAATGATATTATTATGAAGGAAAAAGTTGATTGTAGATCATGTCCAGCCTTTGTCTGTGTAACAATGATCACATTGTTACTACTCAAACAATAAGCCAAAGAAAGTTGAGTTAAAAGTCACTGAAAGTTATAAAACTTCCATTAATTATTAAACTTAGAGACAGGCAACAATTCTTAATGTTAAAATCTTTGGCTGAGTTCATGTAGAGTGGAGCCAATAATATCTGAGCCAAAGACAGGGTTGCACGGCGCAGAGTTGTATACTGTATACTAAGTCACCCTGCTCTGGGGATCCTCAATGCATGACGCCTTGAACAGACGCTTGGTGACTCTCAAGCCCCTTTAGGAGAAAATAACTACCTGCAACTCTAGGTTCCTCATTCTTGAGTCCTTACACTGTGGAGTTACTATGGGGGAGGGCATTCAAAGACTTTTCCAGGACACTTACCCTCTCTGAGCCTTGTTATCCTCATCTGGAAAATGGAAATATTTATCTCACAAGGCTGGTATAAGGTTGAAAGAAATATTTTTCAACATCCTGAAGGTTTATGCTCACACTCACCCTTCTATTTGAATATCAGGGAAACATACAGTGGCAGTTCATTTGACCTATGTTCCCCTAAGTTGAATGGAATAGGCTAACTTATGACTTCATAAATTTTACTTTTGCCAGGCAGTGTTTTAATGTTTCTAATCTTCAAAGATATTCAGAAGGCTCACAACTCTCGAACAGAAATATATTCTGCCTACTGTGATTCCAGGCATTAACCACCCAGCGTCCCAGTCCTGAGAAAAAAATCTCCCGCTCCAAATAGAAGTTCCTGAGGATTAGAGACTCTGTCTTTCCACACTATCATTTGTTCTGAGGTTTCTCTCCAATATCTGCTTCTCTTAGTAAGAACTCAGCTTTTGGTTCCAATATCACATCCCAGCCAGCGTGCTTTGGGGAAAGCTGAATCCCTAGGAGTGGGGCGTTTGACTTCAGTCTGAGATCATCACTAATTGCGTATCTTGTTCACAATGATTAGTTCATGTGTAAGCATATAGATTGTTAGGTTGGTGAGGGGCATGTAGGGGTTTCCCAAGCACTGCTGGGAAGGGTGCCTTCCTACATTTCTTAGCTCCCCGACCAGGTATTGAACCCACACTCCCTGCATTGGAAAGCGAAGTGTTAACCACTGGACCTTCAGGGAAGTCCCTCCTTCTCCTCTTCAAGAGTTTTCCTCTTCTTCCTGTGAGAGGACTTGCACATGGCTTGCCATACTTGCACATCTTGAATGGCAGTTCTTTGCTGATTCTGAATAAATCAATTTTTTCCTTGGAGAAATAACTAGCAGTCTACTTGTTTTTAGGTCAACAAAAGACAAAAGAAGAAGATGGACACCAGTTCAAGGAGAGAGCCCTCAGAAGAGTCTAAACTTGCCAATATTTTCATCCATGACGTGTAGCATTCAGAACTGTGAGGAAAAAATTTCTGTTAGGCCACCCAGTCTGTGGTGATTGTTATGGCAGCCCCAGAAAATAAATACAGCATCCTATAACTAAGATGAAGAACAAGGCTGAAGGAAATGACTTCTATAATGTCAGAGACAGCATCCTTCGTGGCATTCCTGAGTTGCTAAAGCTGAAACTTACTGAAATTTACATGATGAAAGCAAAACTGTCCCCTTTTTTGCTTTATTGTTTCAAATGTAACTTAAACAGTTGAACCAAATACATCACTGTGTCCTTGGTATCTGCAACTAACTATGATGACATCAGTTCAGTTCAGTTCAGTCGCTCAGTCATGTCCGACTCTTTGCGACCCCATGAATTGCAGCACACCAGGCCTCCCTGTCCATCACCAACTCCTGGAGTTTGCTCAAACTCATGCCCATCGAGTTGGTGATGCCATCCAGCCATCTCATCCTCTGCTGTCCCCTTCTCCTCCTGCCCCCAATCCCTCCCAGCATCAAGGTCTTTTCCAATGAGTCAACCCTTCGCATGAGGTGGCCAAAGTATTGGAGNTGGCATTGTGTAACCACTGTAGGAATAATCTAAATGAAAGACATGCACTTATTCAGATGTTAGCCAATCAAACAACTTTTAGTGGAATGAGTGAGTCATAAAGTAATGAAATTTTATAACATTAAGTAGAAAAGAACACACAAATGTCAGAAAAAAATCCTTAAACAAAACCCTTTAGTTCAGGAAACATACTTAAATCTTAAGCAGTGTTTTGTGTTCTTATTACATTTTAGAAAAACTTTGACATTGTGGCAAGATGAAAGACGAGGTAATAAGACGTGCTCTGATGCTCAGTTGTGTCCAACTGTTTCGACTCCATAGACTGTACCCCACCAGGCTCCTCTGTCCATGGATTCTCCAGTCAAAAATGCTGGAGTGGGGTGCCATTTCTTCCTCCAGGGGATCTTCCCAACCCAGGGATTGAACCCACGTCTTTTACAACCTGTGTCTTTTATATCTCCTGCATTGGCAG